CCCCGCCGTGCCCCCTCACGCAACACCTGGCCAAACGCACCCCGCGCTGGCCGCGGCTGGCCGCCCCGCCAAAGGCGTGCACTGACCCACCACAACGGACTGACCACCCGCGGCCGCTCCACCGCAGAGCCGCGGACAGCGGTCACAAATTGTTTGGTCACCAGAAGTCACCAGCAGTCAGGACCGTCAGGACCTTGTTAACTGCTGTCCGGAAGTAGTGTCGCCCGGCCCCGCCCCGCCCCGTCATACCAATATCAATAGTCACCGTCCAGACTCGCATAATCGTTACGGTAGCGGTAGGCTGACGCCGGCGGAGCCGCCCCACGGCTGACCAGCCTGCAATGTTTGACGGGCGAGAAGGGGGGGGGCAAGGAGGAGGGGCTTTGCGTCGTCACGATGGCTGCGTTGTTCATCTGTCTGTCGGTTATCCTACCGTGGACTTACTGAAAAGCCAGGAGGTGGAAGTGGGGTAGAGGAGGACGACAACGACAGTGAGGGCGAGGGCGACGAGGAGGACGAGGGGGAGAAGGGGGAAGAGGACGAAGAGGAGGAAGAGCAGGAGGAAGAGGAGAGGGAGGAGGACGGACGCTCTGAAGCGGTGCAGCTGCCAGGGCGGGGCGCGGAGCGGAGGAGAAAGTGAAGTGAGTGGCAAACAGCAACAAGAGCTTAGTAACAATACAACACACACACGCGCGCGTGCGCACGCACACAGACACACAGTCACGGCGCATGAGGTCATACGCCAAGGTCGGCTGGGGCCGCCCGCGGGGGGGCGGGGGCGGGGCAGGAGGCGAAGAAGGCACCCGTGTCCGTAGGTCTGCCCGTCCATCCTGGTCCCCACACTGGCGGGCGGGTGGGGCGGCCGCCGCCACCGCGGAGACTTCGACGCACTGGATGCACTCAAGCCCTCCGTGGATTTTAACCATGATTGCTGCATTCGGACTGATGCTGCTGCTGCCGATTCGAATCTATACCGTGTCAACTACTTACGTAGATCGTCGAAGAAGCGCGATCCGCCGTTGGCGTTGACGCTTGCGTTCCCCTTGTCAGCGTGGGGCTTCCCTGCGACTGCACCTGTAACAGTCGAAAAATGCGCCGGTATAACGTAACGCCGCACTCGTGGTTCACATTCGTGCGGTGTTCCTCCCGTTTTTCCTAGCTCCTCCCCATCCTCTACTCTTATTGTTCTGGAAATATTGCGGTATGGCTCTGGTGGGACCTAGGATGGGCCCCTTCCTCCCATCTGCTCATTGCACAACCACAACAAAAGCCGTCAGCGCGCGTGCGCTGTGCATGCCACGCCCGCCCGGGCCCAGCCAACACCCGTAATGGAAACACATTATTTCGCCTTTTCCCCCCATTCTCCTCCCCTTCTTTCTTATTCTCACATCGTCTCTCTCGCACTCGTTCTTTTCTCCGTTTACCCCGGCTGGCTCGCGCACTTGGTGATATGCTCCATAACAATGCGTCCCCCCTCCAGCAGCTCATCGCGCGTCGGCTCGACTCGCACACTCATAACCCGGCGAGCCGTGCCGCGGCGTGCCGTGCGGTACTTTCACATCGTAAAGCGCGCGGCCCGGCCACAGAGTTGCGTCACAATGAATGGCGCGTACCATCCGCGCGCGCTGGTCGCGCCGGTGACGGCGAGGGGACCAAGAGGGGACCCGCCGACCCGCGCCGGGGCCGGGCCAGTAGCGGAGCCTCGTTGGATGTGACCACAACATCCGAACGGCGCACGACAAGCAGAGCATGGCCGGCGGCGGCGCGGCCGTGGGGGGCGAGGCGTCGGGGTCGCGGCGCGTGTCCTACTTGGAGCTATGGTCACCGGGGCGTCGACGACGAAATAGCAAGGACGCGGAGTTCCGCCCCTTGAAGGGATCGGGACTTGGGAAATGGCGGACTTCCCTGTTTGCTTCCCGCGTCGCTGCTGAAGTCTCCCCCTCCTCCATTCCCCCCTCAAGCCCTTTATGTCGAAAATTTATGGCCAACATTGCCGTTTGGACACATAAAACGTTGCTCTAAAACACTGTATTTGCTGTAATTTCTACTTACCGTCGATAGCTTGCTCCGGTGGCGGCTCCTTGGTGTCCAGCGAGGGCCCCGCCGCCACGGGCACGCCCTGAAGGCACAGGAGAGCCACAAGGAAGCCGAAGAACAGGACGGCCTCCAGGGGCAGCCAGCGCACCGACCGGCCGAGAGTGGGCAGCAGCATAGTCTGCAACAACGGAAACACAAATCACTTCGTAAACGAATCATAACGCTGAAATCTAGACGACGACCCCCCGAGCGACCCCCTGACAAGAACCAGGGATTTGCAGACCTAGTCCAAAGTAGTCCGGTTGACGACCGCCCCGAAAAAAAAAAAAAATTGTTTCGTCCTTAAGAAATAAGTCTTCAAAATTTAGTTTTGAAAACGTCGCTCAGGCTCAGACCATTAAAAAGGGAAGTCAAAAAAAGGAACGAACTCACTTCTCTTTCTATTTCTGCCAAGACGGAATGAGAAGTTGTCTCTGTGGTTTAGCAGTTTCAACCTCTCGATATGGGGCGGAGGTGAAAACTGATCGGACAGTTTTTCATACCTGGAAGCTCGTAGAGGCACAGTGATGAGCTGGACCTAGACCTGGACCTGGACCAATCAGAGCTATTACGGAACCATCATAATCAGTGAGTTTGTTCTTTTCTGTTCGTTATATCAAGTTAACTCAAGCTGAACGCGGAAGCTAAAGTCCCTGCCCAAACTCAACCCCGATTCAGCGACTTATGGTCATGGTCACCAGCAACCCCCTTCCAAGCCTCTCCCTCAACTCGAAAGTCACCGCATCGTCGGGCTCGAATTTGGGCTTTGGCCTTTGGCCTTGCTCTTGAACAGCGTTCGGCTTGGCCGAACTTGGCAGAACATTTTCTTACTTTCCGCCGTGAATGCACTTGAAATGCCGTGCTACCCCTCTCGATCATGGTCGGTGTTATCATACCCTCCCCTCACCTGCTTCCCCGCTCTTATGATGGAGTATGAAGTAATGTATCTGGCTCGACGCCCGGGCCGGCCGGCTCCGTGGCGCCACCAGGCAGCGACACCGTTTACTTTCACTCAACGCCGGCTCGGCACGCCACGCCAAGCCACGCCACGCCACGCCACGCCACGCCACGCCAGCCCGAGGATCAGTCCGCGGGGCGCGGGGCAGAGGAGCGAGGCGGGACGGCGTCACACTCTGGCAGCCGCAGCCAAGACCAGACCGCCACAAAATATTTCCGGAAAAAATATTACCGGGACAAACAACACGACTTCGTTATTAAAAGTATTTGTTGTAGTGAGTGTAAGCTGGTACCGAGCCCGTGCTGACTTGGTGTACAAAAAAGAACTTGTTGTGCCAATACGGTCAGTCATCTAGACACACTCATCCTGACTCTAAGTCCTTACGTCCCAGCTGTACTCAACACTTGTACTTTTGACAGAAATAATTCTGTTGCTACGAGAGAGGCAGTGGCGGTGTTGATCCGGCGGCCGATGGCAGCAGGACACCCTCTGTTTGCTGGTGGCCCGTTATCAGTTGGTTGCATCACCACCGCGATAGGAGCGCGCCCGGACCAAAGGCAACATTTCTCACTCGACCAGGCCGCGGCGGACCGACGGCGCCGGTGTCTGGCCCGCTGGAGCTGACCTGGTCCCGCGCCCAGACATCCGGGCCGAGTTATAGCAACGCGGGCTGCAGCGGCAACAGCAACGCGCATGGAAAACTTTTTATCGGTAAAAGTCTTCTTTTTTAACTTCTTTCGTTCTTTCCGGTTTCGTGTAAAAGGAAAAGGGGGAAAAATGAGACTTTGGAACGGGACGACAGACGTCATCGACGCCCTAAAGCACCCCGCCCCTCCCACCGCACCGCCCAACTTGTCAGTCCACCCAGTGAAAGGGAAGGTGAGGTGAGACAAAAACGGGTTCGAGGAGGCCGAGCCTGGCTCTGCCCAAAACCAGTGGTTTGTTTTGAACTTATCGCGCTTACTACTTTGTAAAAATAAAATAAGTTTGCCTTTATTTCTAATTTTTTTAAAGAAAAGAAAAGCCTTGTATTTTGCGAATAAATGAGAAATGAGCTCTCTTTGCACGCCGCCTGTTAGCAGGCAGGCCCGTGACGCACCCGTGTGTGCAGGAGGCCTACCTCACGGGCGCCTCCACATAGGCAGGCCCGTGACACACCCGTGTGTGCAGGCGGCCTACCTCACGGGCGCCTCCACATAGGCAGGCCCGTGACACACCCGTGTGTGCAGGCGGCCTACCTCACGGGCGCCTTGACACACCCGTGTGTGCAGGCGGCCTACCTCACGGGCGCCTCCACATAGGCAGGCCCGTGACACACCCGTGTGTGCAGGCGGCCTACCTTACAGGCGCCTCCACATAGGCACACTAGCGTAGTAGGATGGAAGAAAGAATTTGTCGTTTAAGAGCATCTAAAATCCTTCATCATGAAGTCCTCTCGGTCCCGATCACGTTAAGAACATACTTTGAGGTTACAGCAGCGTGTTCCAATTTCACAAACCTCGAAGCCTTCACTAACACATAATTTCGACAGGACATAGGACATATCTATTTTTTCCTGTTCATTGTGTTGGTACCCCCTCCCCCTCCCCCTTTTCCTTTTTCGGGTGATGCCCGAGAGCAGCTTCCCGCGCCCGCGCCCCTTCAGCCGGTGCTCTGCAACAGGTCGAACTAGAGGCACTTACTAGCACTTTGTTAAATCCCCCCGCCGGCTCCCCAGTCCCCCGCGCTTGTCCCTCTGCAAGGCGGGGGAGCTTTCCCCCACAGTGTAAGTGGCCTGCCGCTTTGCTTTTCACTACGCGGCCTAGGCAGATGACTCCCATTTGCGCCTTCCCCGCCTTGCCCCGCGCCCTCCTTGCCCCGCCCCGCCCCGCCGCCTGCAGCTGAGCAAACGCGCGACTCGCGCCCGACGTTCCGTCGTCGTCGACACGGAGGATGGGGCATGGTGCGGTACCACATACACCGCTGCGAGTGCGCCGTGCGTGCTTCCTCCATACGGGCGTAAAGACGGTGACGTTGATGAAGAGCTATACTCTCTGTCAGCTAAGACCTCGCGCTCACGCCCGACGCAGTACAGCGTGCACGGCTCACGCTGACGTGAGCGTGAACTAGCAGGGCGGGGAAGAAGGGGGCAGGGGGGGGGGGGGGGTAGTGGTCGTTGCAAGCACATGACAACTTAATGATTTTTGAAAAGGGAATATTTTAGCGTTCTTGAAAAATTTTGGACGCTTCTCTTGCCAGGACTTGTTCGAACACCTTTTTTTTTTTAAACCTTGAAAACGCCGAAAAATCCTATTTTAACGCCTGAGTGAGCCACGCTGCGCTGAGCGTGGCACGTGAGCGCTAGACACTGGATGTCGCCCGAGGCGCTCCACGGCCTGCTGTGAGGCCCGCCGGGCGGTGCGGTGCGGCCCGGTAATGACCCTGGCTGCACGGCCTCAATAGCCCTCGAGGAGGCCGCGCTGGCGCTGGCGCTGCTCTGGGGGTCGTTGACGGACAGCTCCGTCCCAGTCGGACCTCCGCTGGGCACCTCCAGGCGCGGCGACAGGCGGGCGTAAGGGACCAAGGGACAGGGCCCGGACAGGCCGCCGCCCGACGACGCGTACCTCCGCTCGCCTGCGCCGCACAAAAGGGCGTGACTCACAATATTCATGTGCGGCGCCCAGGGAAACTCGCGCATAGTAACGACGGGATATGACAGGGGGGGGGGGGGCTGACGTTAGCCCCCCCTCGACACAACGACGTATACTGCACTCGTATACTAGAGCAAAGGGCGAGCTATGCGAGCCAAATGCCTACCCCGACCCCCCTCCCACATGTCGAACAAGTAGTCTAGCTCGCGTAGCTCGCTCGATGCAGGGCTCTTTCCCGACCGCGTGCCCCCCTGATATGTGTGTGGAACAAAGACAGGGGCAGATACGAGACCAACTTGTAGTGATGAGGCCCGGTCGGGTTCAGTGACCTGTTCGGTGTTCGGTGCCTCGTTCAGTGACTCACGGCCGGCTAATGACGGTGACAGCATGAGACTTCTTGTAACTTTTTCACTTTCTCACCACTTTTCCCCTGCCGCCGCACTTCCTGCCGATGACCCATCCGCCAGCCCCTCACGTCACTGCACCGCCTGAGGGCGTCTCTGCACGCGGAGCACGCGGGTGTAGGCTGCCAGCTGTGGCGCCACGAGAGAGAAACTCTGATATGCGCGAGCAAGAGAGGTGTGGGTGGGGACCACCGGACGCCACCGGACTCATCTGGATAAATCGCGCTTTTTGTGAAAAGTTCAGTACGGCTCAGCAGCGCCACCTGCAGAGTGCGGTTTGCGTCGCGCTGACGCTGGAAAAACAAAGGTGGTGCCAAGTCCCACCTTTAACAGGCTCTAGGTTTAGTGCCTTTACAAAGGTCAACTGCCACAGTCACTCAATTTTAGTTTGGTGAATTTACAGAGGCATTAAACTGAAAATTTCTTTAGCACCTCTGGAAAGGCACGACTTGGCACCTTTGTTTTTCCAATGGACCAATCACTGCGGATCTGCAGTGACGAGGGGCTGCTCTGCGGCAGCTGCGGGCAGCTCTGGGTGAGTTGTCGGACAATAGTCAGTCAAACTCGATGTCTTACCGGAAAGGTTGGTGTGACGAGGTGAGGATAGTCCTGTGAAGGGTCTCCGAAACATCCAGTGCAGAGTGCAGGGCGCAGTGAAAAGGGGGAGATAAGGGAGGAATTCCCTCGACTGCGAGTGAGAGAGAGATGGAGGGGCTGAGAGAGAGGAGACGAGAGAGGGGGAGAGAAGGGGAGAGGGGGAAAGGGGAGGGGGTGCAGGGGAATCACTCTCGTTTCGCCATTCGCACTGCTGGGCTGGCGTCTCGGCTGGCGCACTCCACGACACGGCGGACACGCCACGGCTCGGCACGGCTCGGCACGG